CTGAGAGGATAGGGAGTGGGGTGTACATGGAGTGTGGAATGGGAGTGTAGTGGGAGGAGGGAGGGGGAAGGAGGGGATATAACATGTACATGGGGTGTACATGGAGTGTGGAATGGGAGTGTAGTGGGAGGAGGGAGGGGGAAAGAGGGGGAGAGGAGGGAGGGGGAAGGAGGGGATATAACATCAGATACAAATCGCTGAAGGAATGACCCTGCTTTTAACAACGGCCATTCTGTTTGGTGTTTAGATGTTATTGTATTTTTCTTAAGTGTTGCCTATCATTAGAAAGGTTTTTAACAAACAAGTTCAAAGGAAACACTAAAGAGCATCTACTAAATTATCAATGACGTCCGGTACTTAAATACAAGGCCAAAAATTGTATTTTGTTTTCTTAAATTGATATTTTGGTATAATTTTTTCTTACATACCATTCGAAATTGTTTGTGTTCATATAATGCAATTGTGCTCTGTAATATTCATTAGATTAAAGCAATAGCTATTATAACTACGGAAACAAACTGTTCTGGACATGAACTAGAATTTAGATTTAGTGATTATTATAAAGTGTTTTTGTAGTAACGGTATTGTTTATTTATTCATAGGTGAGTAGATAGATAGATAGACTAAGATTTAGATGATAAGTGAAATATATATATATATGGGTAAATCCATAAACAGAGTGACAACTGAATATTATGTGGTGAATACATAGATATATAGGTAGATGATTATAGAGTAGCAAAAATAAATGAAATGAATAAATAAAATAATCCACGCGGTAAATCCCATCCTCTTTGATAAACTCCTTCCCCCACCCGCCTCCCTCCCGGTTCCCCATCCCCAACCACCTCCTCCCCTCCTCCTCCCTCCTCCCCTCCCCCTCCTCCCCATCCCCCTCCCCCTCCTCCCCTCCCATCCCCCTCCACTCCCATCTTTTCTCCAATCCTCCTTTCACCCCCTCCCCACCTCCTCCCCACCCTTTCCCCACATTATTCCACCCACCTCCGTACTTCCGGTCGACGCGATAAAAATGGCCAAGAAATTGCGATCGCCATTGCGGTGAAGCGGCGTAACCAAAGAGTCCCAAAAGCCGTCTTCTCTCGCCTCGTTGTTGCCGCCGCGTTACGTCACGTCTCGCCGGAGGAGGAGGGAGGAGGGGGAGGAGGAGAGGAGGAGGAGGAGGAGGAGGGGAGGAGGAGGAGGAGGAGGGAGGAGGAGGAGGAGGAGGAGGGAGGAGGAGGAGGGGAGGAGGAGGAGGAGGAGGAGGAGAGGAGGAGGAGGAGGAGGAGGGAGGAAGGAGAAGGAGGAGGAGGAGGAGGAGGAGGGGTGCAGGAGTAAGGGAGGAGGAGGAGAAGGAGGCAGGAGGAGGAGGGCGAGGAGGAGGAGGGGGAGGAGTGAGGAGGGGGAGGAGGAGGAGGGGGTGAGGAGGAGGAGGGGAGGAGGGAGGAGGAGGAGGAGGAGGAGGAGGGAGGAAGGAGGGGAGGAGGAGGCAGGAGGAAGGCAGAAGGAGGCAGGAGGAGGAGCGCAGAGGAGAGAAGGAGGAGGCAGGGAGAAGGAGGAGGAGGCAGGCGAGGAGGAGGGAGCGAGGAGGGGGCAGGGGGAGGAGGAGGAGGAGGGGGAGGAGGAGGAGGAGAGGGTAGGCAGGAGGAGGAGGAGGAGGAGGTAGGAGGGATAGAGAAGGAGGAGGAGGAGGAGTAGGAGGAGGCAGTCGAGTCTGGAGGGAGGCAGGGAGAGGAGGAGGAGGGGGGGAGGAGGAGGAGGAGGAGGGGCGAGGATAGAGGAGGAGGTAGGAGCGAGGAGGAGGAGGGTGACGCAACACGGAATGATCTGATTTGTGTGTTTGTGTTTTTTTGTATATGTGATTTGGGTTTATCTGTTTTTTTTTTTTCGTTGTTATTGATTTTAAGAGGAGGAGAGGGTGCATAAATATAATTTGTTCGAGATTTTTCTTCTTTAATAAAACGGCAAAATCTATTATTTATAAATTCATTTCTTTATTCGATGAAACAGTTCATTCATTAATTCTTTTATCCACTTAAAAGTCTGAGTATAATTCTTCATTGATTTCTATCGTTGTCATCGATCATATCATTTCGTTTCAGCCTCACGAGTCCTCAATTAATCCATTCATAATTTCAGGTAATCTATCAATAACAAATTCTCAATCACACAACTATCGTTTATTTCCCTTCATCACGATTCCTCAATTAATCCATTCATTCTTTTAATTAAAGATCTATCAAAACAAAATTCTCGATCATCCACATCTATCGTTTTAACTGATGACATTATTCCTTTCGGTCCCACGTTCCACCGGCACTGTTTGTTTACTCGTACTCTCGCTGTTGGCTCAAGCCGGCTTCCTGGTTCACGGCATCGGTTCCGGAGGGGAAAGTAGCGTGGCTCTGCGGATATGGGGAGGATTGCGGGTTTGGTGAAGGGGTGAAACGGGTTCGGTGCGTCGGTGCCTGCTCTTAGTGCGGCCGAGGGAATGGCTTTGCGGTGGTGATGGGACGTCTTTAGAGTTAGCATTTGTGTAGGTATTCTTTTTCTTTAACAATTGGAGGGTGAAATATAGGAAAAAAACTGTGAGAATGACATCGATATATATATATATAATATATATATATATATATATATATATATATATATATATATATGTATGTGTGTGTGTGTGTGTGTGTGTGTGTGTGTGTGTGTGTGTGTGTGTGTGTGTGTGTGTGTGTGTGTGTGTGTGTGTGTGTGTGTGTGTGTGTGTGTGTGTGTGTGTGTGTGTGTGTGTATATGGTGTGTATACCACACNGAGAGAGAAAAGAGAGAGAAAGAGAGAGAGAGAGAGAGAGAGAGAGAGAGAGAGAGAGAGAGAGAGAGAGAGACGAGAGATGAGAGAGAGATAAGAGAGAGAGAGAGAGCATGTAAAAGGAGGAAGGGAAGAAAGAGGTAAAGAAGGGAAGAGACAGGAGAGATGGAAGGAATAGGGAGAGAAAGGAGGGAATAGGGAGGAGCAAATAAATAGAGGAAGGGAAAGGAGTCTGAGGGAAGGAGAAAGGAGGTATAAAGGAGGAAAGAGGGAAGAAGTAAAGGGAGGGGGAGGGGGGGGAAAGGGAATGGCACGTAAAAGGAGGAAGGAGGGGGAGGGAGAGAGAGAGGGAGATAGGGAGGGGAGGCAGGGAGGGAGGGAGGGGGGGAGGGAGGGAGAGAGGGAGAGAGGGAGAGAGGGAGGGATAGAGGGAAAGGGGAGAGATGGAGGCACGGAGGGAGGGAGGGAGGGAGGAGGGAGGAAGTCAATGTCATTGCAAATAGGATCGCGATACCGTCGCAGAGGAGGAAGCTGAGGCGGAGGGAGGGGAGGGAGGGAGGGAGAAAGGAGGGGAAGAAGGAGGGAATATAGGAACTGGGAGGGAAGAGAGAGGGAAGAAGGAGGGAAGGGGGGATAGGGAGGGAAGAGAGAGGGAAGAAGAGGGAAGGGAGGAATAGGAAAGAAGAGGAGGGGAAGGAAGGGAGGGAAGGGAGGAATAGGGAGGGAAAAGGAAGAGGGGGAAAAGGAGGGAAATGAGGAACAGCTAAGGAAGAGAGAGAGGTGAAGGAGGGAAGGGAGGAATAGGGAGGGAGGAAAGGAGGAAGAAGAGGAGAAGGGAGGAATAGGAAGGGAGGAAGAGCTAAAAAGAAAGGGTGGAAGGGAGGAGTAGCGAGGGAGGAGAGAGGGAGAGAGGAGAGGAGAATGGTGGGGGAAGGGATTAGAAAGAGAAGAGGAGAGGGAGGGATGAGAGAGGATGGGAGAGGGAGGGAGAAGAGAAGGGTGGGGGAAGAGATTAGAAAGAGAGGGAAGAGAGGGAAGGGAGGAGAGAGGGAGGAGAGAGAGAGAGAGAGGAAGAATGAAAAAATAAGAAAATGATGGCGAAGAGAGAAAGTGAAGAAAATGGTGGATAAAGGAGTAGAAAGAAGAAAGGAGTGAAGGAAGAGAAAGACATGCGAAGGAAGAAAGAGAAGGAAGTGAGGAAAAAGGGCGAGGGAATAAGAGAGAGAAAGCAGAGAAAGAAAGAAGAGAGAAAGAGAGAGAAGAGCGAAGGAGAAGAGGGAGAGGGAGATTAAGGAGGAGAAAGAAAACCGAGGGAGCAAAAAGAGAGAGCAGACAAAGAGAGAGAAAAGCGAAGGAGAAGAGGGAGAGGGAAATAAAAAGAGAGAGAAGAGCGAAGGAGAAAGAGGGAGAGGGAAATAAAGGGAGAGAAGAGAAAGAGGAGAAGGAGAGGGTGAAGGAGAGGAAGGGCAGGGAAGAACCGCTAAACGATATGACCAAGTTTGACCCTTTCTCCCCATTTGACATCGATCTCGTCATGACCTTTTCCACACCTGTGATTCGTGGCTGGCGACCTGACCTGACCTGACCTGAACTAGTTCGATCTCGTGTGACGTTGCAGGTTTGATTAGAGTGCGGTACTGTTTTTAATGTTTATTTTTGTTGTTATCATCGTTATCATTATTATTAACATTATTACCGCCACTTGTTATTATCATTTATTATCATTAATTAAACGATTAAAAGTGATAATGATAATAATGATGTTATCATCATACTTATCATTATTTTTTACCATTATCATTATGTTATATTACTATAATAATAATAAATAATAATTAATAAAATAATAATAATAAATAATAATAATAATAATAATATAATAATAATAGTAATAATAATAATGATTACTAATAACAATAATAATAAATAATAATAATAATAATAATAATAATAATGATAATAATAATAATAATAATAATAAATAAATAATATGAAAAAATAATAATTATTGTTATTATCATTATTACCATTATTATTAGTATAATTGTTGTGTTGTTATTATCATTACTATTATCATTGTTATAATTATCATCTCATCATTATCATTATTATTATTATTATCATCATTATTATCATTATTATCATTATTATCATTATTCACTATTACTATTACCATTGTCTTCATTATCATCATTATTAC